GGGACTCTGTGGTGAGGACAAGAACTTCCTTACCCTGGGGACCCTCTTGGGGACACATCATGACCTGGGGATGCCTGGTGACTCTGCCTATGGAGAGGACAAGAACTTCCTTACCCTGGGGATCCTCTTGGGGACACATCATGACCTGGGCTCTGCCTATGGAGAGGACAAGAACTTCCTTACCCTGGGGATCCTCTTGGGGAGACACCATGGCCTGGGGATGCCTGGAGGCTCTGTCTAAGGTGGGGACCAGGGCTTCCTTATCCTGGGGACCCATGTGGAGAGACAACATGGCCTGGGGAAGCCTGGGGGATATGTCTGTGGTGAGGACCAGGGATTCCTTCTCCTTGGCACCTACCCATGGAGACTCCACTGTGGATTCAGGATGACTGAGGTCCAGGTGAGGAAGACACGAGGAAGAAGCTTCCTGGGCACTGCCTGTTTGCTGAGGAAGAAGTTCTGCCATGTTCTTTGCTTTCCCAGGTAATATTTCAGCAGAACTTTTTTACAACAGTTTTCCTCACTGAGGCTTTGGATGCACGTCATTATGTCACTTCAGTGTGTTTTATGTGACTTGACTGTAATTTGGGGAGAAATCAAAGGACACAGGAGAAACCCAGATGGCCACTCAAGATGGTGCAGGGAGGCCCAGCATCTGGAGTCCCATTGGGGCCTGAGGGGACCTCATTGCTTGCTCTTATTCATGTTTTAATGACTAATTTTTCTTATAGGTTTAAGTACTTGAGAAATATTGAGAAGTTGATGCCTTAAAATTTAAAGTTACGTTAAGTGTAAATATTGTATTTGTGTCGGTTACAAGAAGAACCTTGTGGTGGGGTTATAGATCAGGGGTGTAGTGCTCCATCCCAGGCACTATGAGATAAAACCAAACAAAGAAGCAGAACACGGACTTTTTTTTTTTAAATATTTTTAGTTCACCTTAGTGGCTTGCTTTTATTTATTTTTATTTATTTATGTATTTTTTAGTTTTCGGCGGACACAACATCTTTGTTTGTATGTGGTGCTGAGGATCGAACCAGGGCCGCACGCATGCCAGGCAAGTGCGCTACCACTTGAGCCACATCCCCAGCCCCGCAAAACACGGACTTGAAGATCTACAGTGTAAATTAACCACAAGTAAAGGAGGACTTCAGATGTATTAATCCAGTGTACTGCATGCTCCTATTAGAACCTCATTTGTCATTGTCTAAAATTTATTTGAAATAGCTGGAGAAATCTGTGTATCAGTTGGGTGTTAGATATTAAAGAATTATGATTATTTTCAACTGTGGCTGTATTAAAGACTTCTTTCCATTACGTGACTACAATTTTTTAGAAGAAACTGGATGATGCTGGGGTTTGCTGGGTGAGTCTGTCCCAGTGGGGTGGGCCCTCTGACCAGTCCCACAGTGGTGATGGCTGCGTGGGCAGTTTCTTGGCTGAAGTACCCATAATACTTGGGGTACCAGGGCCAGTAGCTCCTAGGGGCCACATACTGAGGGGCCTGTGGGCAGAATGCTGGACAGCAGTGCCTAGAATCCTCGGGGGCCCACAGTTCCCAGGAGCCTCTGGTGAGAACGGCATGGGCAGACCACTACTACCCAGAATAATGGGGGCTCCTGGCAACTGTGTGGCCTACAGATCCCAGAGGCCTTTGTGGAGGATTCTTGGCTGGGCAGGTAGTCTCTGGGATATGCTCCCCAGAATCCTCAGTGTACCAGGGCAAGCACGTGGCCCAAAGCTCCCAGGGGCCTTGGAGGGTGTGAGCAGCAGAATGCTGGACTGCACTGCCCAGAGTCCCCAGGTGATTTGTGACTACACAGCCAGCAGCTCTCAGGAGACTCTGGGGTGAGAGCTGCAAAGGTGATGATGGCCTGTCCTACCTAGAATCCTTTAGGGCCTGCCGTCACCAGAGCCCTCTGCAGTGAGGGCAGCATAGGTCAAATGACAGACGGCAGTATCCATCACCCTCAGGGACCTGCAGCTTGCAGGGACCTCTGGAGTGATGGCTGTACTGACAAAATGACAAACTATGCTACCCATTACCCTTGGATGGCTGCTGTTCTTAGGAACCTCTGGGGGCAGGGCTGCAAGGGCAGAATACCAGGCTTCAGTGTTTGGAATCCCTGGGGATCCCTGCAAACCCTATAACTCCCAGAGTTTCTGTGGTGAGGGTTGTGTGGGTAGAGCAGTACCTGGAATCTCAAGGGTGCCAGGGAAAGCATGGGGTCTGCAGCTCCTATGGTCCTCCCAGCAGGGCTGTGCAGGCAAAACCTACCCTACGTTATCCAGAACCCTCAGGGGCTGCAGCTCCCAGGATCCTTTGTAGTAATTGAGCTGCACTACATTACCCACAATCCTCAGGGCTACAGCTCCCAGAACCCTCTTTGATGACTGAGCAAGCCCTGTGACTGAAGTATCCACAAC